CAAGATCTTCAAAACCTATAATGAGAAATAAAATTATCCTCTCTACCTAAATCAATGGAGTAAGAAGTAATTTGATTTCTTCCAATCTGTTCATTCTACTTTTCTGGGTATCTGATAGATGCTTCAATCTCTCCCTCTATCCACTTCTTCAAATCTAGTAATAAACATAGCCATGCTCTCTTCAAAATTGTGTGTGAATTAACCCTAGGGCCTCAAGAGTTGAGCCTTGGAATTAACATTAAGACAAGTAGCTGGCTCTCGATGTGGCACTGGAAAGCATTTTGCATCGTCCAAACTGGGAACTGGGAAACTAAATTCCAGGTCAGCCTCCTTCCGTCTTTGCACACCTCAGACTCTTACAAAATCCTACCTTTCGTGAGGCTGAAATATGTTGTGTTTTAACCCTCACTGGTGTACAGTCCTAGGGTCATAGAGAACATGTGAAATTTCACATGTATATACAAGCCCTATGACAGTTTTCCAACGTCTGTCAGGTTCTCTGATCTCCTCTGTGTTATTCTAAGCATTTCTATTTCCTATAGTCATGCTTCCTTTTGATAGGTTTACTGTTTTGTTTTTTTTAAGATTTTTTTATTGGGGAATTGGGGGAGGGAACAGCATTGGGGAATCAGGGAAGGGGAACAGACAAGTTGCTGTCCTTTCGCTCCTCAGTCTAGTTGTGGAGGACGTTGCTTCACTGGCCCAAGTTGGCACCATCATTGTGCTCTTCCTGGGCGAGGCAGATAAGTCTCCGGCTTCTGGATGGCCGCTCACAGCGACTGCTGGCCACTCACGCTGGCTGCTGGCTACACACGGTAGTCCATGGCAACCCACTGCAGCAGGGGCTGCAGCCCGTGCCGTCCCGGTGACTCAGGACAGCCCAGCTCCAGGTTGAGATGTTGTTCAGCATCTTAGCTGTAGAGGGCAGTGTCACTGGCCCTCATCTGTGGGATCCAAACCAGGGCCCTCTGGCGTCCCAAGCCAGCTCCCAACCAATGCGCCACTCAGTTGGCCTGACAGGTTTACTATTGATATTCCTCTTCTTGCTGCTAGATCTCAATATACAACAGTTTGTGTACGTTCTTCTTAAAGTAAAACACCTAGAGTTGCATACTGCTATATTTGGTATGCTTAATATAAACCAGTATTTTCCAAAGTGGTGTATGGACCCTTGGGGACCCCAAGACCCTTTCAGGGCAACCACAAGATCAACACTATTTTTATATAATACTGAAAAAGTATCTGCACATTTTACTTTGTTGACATTTACATTGATGGTGCAAAAGTAATGGTGAGTAAAGCTGCTAGTACCTTAGCATGAAATATGGCAGTGGCACCAAACTGTACTACCAGTCTTTGTATTTGTTACTCCCACACACTCACAGGGAAATAAAAAGTAAATATCATTTAAGAAAGTGCTGGATAAAGTAGTAAAAAATGTTAATTTCATTAAATGTCAACCCTTGAGAATATGTCTTTTTAATATTCTGTGTGAAGAAATGGAAACTTGTTGTCCACCAAGCCTGGTCTTGGTGATCTGGAGGAAACGCTTTCATGTGATTGAGTTGTAGGCACTCTTATCATGAGATACCATTTTTACTTGAAAGAACAACTAACAGACAAACTACTATAATTCAGACTTGGGCATTGGGAAGACATTTTATTTTCTTGAAAAATGGATTAAGTGAACTTGTCACGTCTATCTATCTATCTATCTATCTATCTATCTATCTATCTATCTATCTATCTATCTATCTAGAGAGAAAGGAGGAGCAGTGATGGGATTTCAAAGAAAGCAGGCAATTTACAGGTAGCTGAGGAAGAATGTCTTGCTTCAGTGGGCCACAGGGGGTGGTCTAGTTACCAGGCCCCTGCCTGGAGCCCTCCCACCCACCCTCAATTCAAATAAGGCTAAAAAAGGTGAACATCCTAAGATTTCCTTCCTGAAGCAGGCCTTTCCATCTGAATCTCAGGCAGGAAAGAGGGGAGACTCAAAGGTTCTTTCTGAGTCTCTTGTTTGTTCATAACCTAAAATCAATACCCCAAAAGGCAGGTTCAGGGTGTCAAAACTGTGGGTGCCTTCAGAGCAGATCAGCAGCAACAAACTGCTAGCTCACGGGGGCTCAAGTAAGACTCCTGAACCTGTGAAGTTCTTTGCTCTGTAGTCTTGTATAGTTGAAAATATAATAGGTATAGGGTGGATGAGGTATATCTTAGGATGTCAAAACCTGAAATATCTGCCATCTTCTGATTGAAACAACTATGTTTAAAACAGAAATTATAATTTAAATTAATTATCCAACATTATTCAATTGGTTGTTGCCATAGCTTGTCCCCTAATTTGTTGTTTATGAATCAGTTCTAGATGGCTAGTCGCCGTAATTCAGACCTGGGACTCAGGAAGGAATTTTCATTAAGTGGGAAGTTTGGGGTGTATCTATGGGCACAGAGACTAATTCAATCTATAAGAGTCAGTAAGACAGCACAGGGTGAGACCTTAGTTAATGCTTATAAAAAATCATTTAAGGACTAGGAAGCCAGGAGAAAGGCACTCAAGTTTTTTGACTACCCAAAAAGAACCTTTGCATTACCTTAGGAAGCTCTACCTAAGCAAAGCGCTTAGGCACTGTGCTAATCTCTTACCATAATTTAACATTTCTATCATCATAACAGCTCTGTAAAGCAGGTATTTTCTCATTTGTCAACTAGGAAATAAAGGTCTAGAGGGGTGAAATACACTTCCAGGATCACATAAACACATCCCACATCACACAATCCTACATCAAAGGTGGGATTTGAATTTCAGGCTTCCCTCAGAAAATGTGATAGCTACAATATTCTGCCTTCAAAGAACTTTCACCTCTTTTTATATTGTGTTAGCAGCTTCCCTATTTTCTTTTGGGGGG